TCCACATGCGGGACTCCCAACCGTTCCATCCACAGCAGATCAATGCACAGAAAGATTGGTATTTGGAACTCATCCTATGCTAGGCCCACAGCTGATTTATCAGAGAAGACAACCCTCCCCAAGGGAAATCAAGAAGAAAACAGAGGTGACCCCAACCCCAGGAAACCTTGATAATGAGAGGGTGCAGGGTAGACCTGCCTGTCGCCTGTGTCCTCATGGAGAAGGACTTCCAGGTTTTCTTGCAATCTGCCACCCGTCCCGGACAAGGAGCTCAATGGACACGTGTTGGATGGATTAATGAATGGATGGGTGGCTGGATGGATGGATGAATTGGAGGACTGGATGCATGGATGGATAGATAGGTGGATAAATAAATAAATGCACTTGAGGGACCACCATTTAATCCTAGGCTAAAAATAGCTACCTTTCAACTTTGGCCAAGTCACTCCAACTCTGTCTTTTTGTTTATCTACAAAATGCAAATAATGATTCCACAGGTTATGAGAATGAGGGCGATGTCACAGAGGAGCAGAGCCCGGCGGAGGCTCTGACCTGCCAGGGCCCCTTCCATCTTCCCTGGGCACACTGACCAGATGGCAGCTCTCTGGCTAGATGTGGTTGAAGTCTCTCCCTGCTCTTATTCCAAGAATCTACGTGCACACATGAATGTATGGCCTTGGGGTACGTAGTCAGCAGGAAGGGGACTAGTCCCGCAGAAGGCGGTAAGTGAATGCAGTCAGCCCGGCTGGGTTCCCGCCCACGTCTTGGCTCAAATCCGAGATAAGAGAAAACATTCTTCTTTTTCAATTACTGTCATGACTGACAGGTTTTTCAGGGTTCCCTCTGCTCATGTGGAATGCAGAAATGCAGGAACGAGGCATTCCAAAACACAGCCCTTGAAAACAGACAAGCCTTCCCGCTAATTGACTCCAACAGCCAGTGTTCAGCCCAGGGCTCCTTCCCTTGGAGAGATGCTAACCAGGGAATGCCGTGTGCGAGCTCGCAGCCCAGACGAACGGATCTGCAAGCTCATCTTAGGCAATGAAAGCTAAACATATTGAGTCGGGATCCCCAACATCTCAATGTGGTATTGATCTTTTTCTACAATTCTGGCATAAATCCTATAGGATAAACCTTATAAAAGTTCATAGATGAGCAGATTCAAAAATTGAAGGAAAGTGTAAGGACATCCTTTCCAACCACACAGGCCCATAGGAGGCAAAACATCTCCCGAATCTGGGAATAAAAAAGGAAAGCAAAATGTCCCCTAAGAGTTAGATGGGATATCAACACATATGGGGGCAGTCTGAGCATCGTGCAGAGCTCGCTGCAGAGGCCTGGCTCCTGCTGCAAAGCCCACTGTCCTCCCCTCGAGCACAGAAAGTGCCAGCAGATGTGGGCCGGTGGCCACAGGAGACGGGACAGAGCACCCCCTGAGAAAGTGAGGGGCATGATGGGGAGAGCATGTCCCAGCCGAGGACAGGACAGTCCCTGGGCCACATGAACACCCACCACTGCATGGATTGCCCGGCTCTCCTGATTTGGTGACATGAAATACAGCAGGGTTTTCACGGGCAAGGGCTTTGGGCTCAGAGTGACCAAGGGCTCAACCACAACACCCAGCCCAGCCTTTTGGCCTTGGACTTGCTGCTGTATCGAACAAAGTCTCATTTTCCTAATGTTCATTTACACATATTTTTTTTCACGTGGAACAGCCTTCGATAAGTGTCAGCTTTTAAAAAAATATTCACAGTTAACCACTCTGGAAGCACCTTCTGAATTATACTTTGCTTCACCTCCAGGAAATGAACGCGTGGTCAGGCTCCCCGGCAGCCCCACGCTCGCCTGCTCCCAACGACATTGCCCCACTTTATTCTGCGCCACGTCTCTGAGACACTACATGGAGGGCATCTCTTCCAGTGACGCCCAGCACCCCACTCCATTGGCATTTCTTACCCACCTGCCCAGCTGCACTTGGATAACAGGCACCAAGAACAGTCAGCAGCTCAAAGCCATCTGGGAGACCATCTCCTCCAGCCTGCGTTCAACCCATGAGACAACCCCGCACGGACAGGACCCAGATCTTCTGGACTGGAAGCAGCTGTTGCCCTCAAATCCCCTGATTCCAAGGCCTTCCCAAACCTTCTTTTAACTCCTAGGAATTCTTATAGTTCAGGGGTAAAAACGTTACATTGGGCGTTTTGACAAAGTGGCAGGAAGCTAGCCCAAGTCCTCAGGTTCTGAATTCAGTGCACAAGAAAAGAGAAATGGTGGCCCAGGTGGCGAGGGGCTCTGTGAGGCAGCCGGAGAGGGTCTCACCTCCCATCTGTGGGCACACAGCGGTGCCCATGCCCGACATGGGTGCCTTTGCTTCCTGCTGGTGAAGAATACGTTTACTTAAGCAGAATGTTCAAAACAACTCCCCAGATCCCAGAATTGGGGAAGGGAATCGGGACGTGAGTGGAGTGTCTATCGCCATTGAGCTCGTCTGCCGGGTGGTCCCCGAGCTACTTGGCCTTCTCCGTGTGTATTTCTAGAATATGAATGCCTGTCATATTTCTGGCTATGCATTCATTTGGATGCAAACCAATTCAAAATGCTTGACCCAAATGAGCATTTCTGGGCTCTCTCCACATGGAAACGTGACCTGTCCCACCCCACAGAGGACCCCCCCAGACCCCCATCTGGGAGCTCCCCCCTGAGGCCATCCTCAGCACCAGGGTTCACAGAGAAGGGCAGTGCCCCTCTCCAGGCCTGGCATCCGCCCCAGGTCTCCTGAGCCTCCAGGAGCCCAGCAGCACCAGGGGATGAGGAGTGTGCCATGCAGGTGCCATGCAGGTACCACGCAGGCCGGAGAGATGCATCGGGAGCCTCAATAAGACATTTTCTCAGGTGCAGCTGCCTCCTCTGTGGTGAGGTCAGGGCTCCAAGTCCTTCCCACAACACCCCACCCCCAGCTTCCTCTCACGGCCCCTCCCAGTCCAGACATCACCCTGGAAACCGGATTAAGTCCCCAAACATCTTCCTATTCCCACAGCATTAAGGAACTCTCCGAGGAGATAAGTGGGGACCCTGTGATTGTTTTCACAGATGAGAGAACGGGCAGAGAGGAAGAGTATAAAAGAGTTTTCTGTAATCAACAGTCTCCATAATACACGGAATTACAGCTTGGCCTCCTCTTACAGACCCAGATTCTCAGGACAGACAGCCCCGGGGCTCACACATCATTTGGTAAACGGAACCACCCACAGTGGCTTCATCTCATGAAAGTGCAAAGCCCCCTCCCGGACAGGACACACACCCACAGCCCCTGGACCTCAATGACCTGGACCACAGACCAGACAGGAGGGCAGAGGCAGCGCACAGGGGCAGATGTTCAGGTCTGATACAGGCCTGTGTGCCGGAGCCAGGAGCAGAGGCAGGACCCCGGAGCCCAGATAAACCCAGGGATCTGGTGCCTGTGGGTCGGCAATGAGAAAGGAACAAAAACCCAGAGACCCCTTTGCATGTTTATTCTACATGCAACGTGCAGACTTAGTCTTTGCCTACATAAAGCCCCCAAGAGAAGCCGTCATATTCTGGAGCCGCCTCATAGCTTTCTCAGCCTCTGGGAGGCTCAGCCCTGGCCCAGGCTGGGGCCCCAGAGCAATCCCTGCAGGAGACCTGCCACCCACACTAGTCATACCAACCAGACCCCCAGGCCCTTGACCCTGTGCATTCTGTCCCAGAATCTTCCATCTGAAGATTCAGCCCAGGCACCCCACATCTGAAGCCCAAGTTCACCCCTCCTTCTCCATAAACACCCCGTGAGGCCCTCCCTGGCTCTGACCCAGCCTCTGCTCGGTCTTGCCCTCCACCCTGATTTCCAGCTGTGGCCACCGCCCTGGGACCGCCAGCTCCTGGTGAGGACACCCTGTTCTGCGCTGACAAGCTGCACACACCCAGAGAGGCCCAAGTGACGCGGATACAGCTCCTTTTCCTCTTCCTACCTAGAAACAGCTTCACCTCTGGGCCTGGACGGAGTAAGGGGCTTCTACAGCAGCCAAGGAGACGGCTTGGGCAGGAGTGCTGTGGGGCTAGGGCCCGGAGGCAGCAGACACGCCCCAGGCCCACATCCCAGGTTCACATCTGCCCCCACGGTGAAAGCCAGCTTCCTGCTAGGGCCCAGCACAGCCTCCTCCTGCAGCCATGGTGGGAGGGCTTTCTGATGCTTCTACCTTCTAAGAGGTGCAGCGAGGCGGCTGGCCACCGGGTTGACTCTCAGGCTGGGCCTTGGCTTCTTATTCCGTTGGGATGCACGGGCACAGCCCACCGTTCAACAGCTATGACATTGGGGTCGTGCTGGGTCACGCAGCCCTTTGGCTGTCACATGGGGATTAGCTTATTCACAGAGTGATATTGGGGTCCCTTTGTTCACATGTCACATGCCTACATGTCATATCCAGGGGTCTTTTGATCCCAGTAAAGGAGAGAGGCTCAAAATGCAAAACAGTGGCTGAAATGCATGACCATTATTAACCTAGGAGTATCATTACTGATATCTATTGAGCATTGAATGTTTATGTTCCGGGCACCACGCCGCAGGTCTACAGAATTTTCTCATTTAATCCTACGGAAATCCCGAGGGCAGACACTCTGGTCTCCACTTTGCAGAAGAGGAAGACGAGGGAGCTCTGAGGTTTGGGCAGCACGGTCCATAGCATGGGCAATGACGAGGGCATTCCTCATTCTGCTCTCACAGGGAGAAGAGCTCGGACAGAGGGAGCTCCAGGTGGGCAGGGTTCACCACCAGGAAGAGATTTAGAAACAGGAGACTGAAGTCAGAACACGCCATACACCGGCTTACCATTTTGTCTCTAACTGTAGACTGAGAGACTTTTTTGGAGAGAGACGCTCTAATAATGCAATATCCCCCCACCACTCAGCGAGCATCCTGGGCAGGTCACCTCAGCCCTCTGCTTAGGTCGCCCAGCTGCAAGACAGGGGGGATGATGCCCACCCACCTAGCAGGTAGACATGAGTCACAACTCAACTGAACCCCGTCCTGCACTTACAGGGAGCAGCGCAGTTCCTTCTCTAGGACAAGCACCAGCCCCAAATTCTGGGATGGATATAGCTGCTTTGTCTTGTTTTTAAAGAGGCCAACTTCGTTTTATGGACACTGGCAGATCAAGGTGTCTCTATGTTCACTTGTTTTTCTCAAGTCCATAGAGACAATAATAACATCTCCTTCCAAAAAGATCCACACCCTCCTTATTCTGAGTCAATTCCAGTAAATTAAACCAAATAACAATGTAGCCCAAAGTAACAGGGCCGACGGGCTCAGACGGGAACAGCCCCAGGACTCTATCCACCCAGTTATTTCTTTCACGGATGTTGTCTACACGCTCGTTCTCAGGAATCCCCTCCTGCACCAGCTGCAGGTTTGTGGGGTGTGGATGGTAACAGAAATTCCGCATGGAAGTACAGCAGACCCGGGTGGAGAGCTACAGGGACTGGATCAAATGTCCCCACCACCGCCAGCACCTTGATGAGCCTCTTGGCCCACCGCATCCAGTCATCACTGTGACACCAGGCAAAAATACTGCCTGTGGGGCTGACACCGGATCAGTATAACTGAACCCCAATGAGCAGGGAGGGCCCAGGTTTGCCTCATAGAACTGGGTGGCAAGTTCAGAGGGGCTTCTCTATGGTCCTGGCTCCCTTCCCCCACCTCTGTCTCTCCCTGTCTCTCTCTGCCTCCCATCCTCTCTCGCCATGGATCCTCTGCACCCCTGAAGAATCATCTTCCTCACAGTCCAGGGTCCTCTCTTTCAGTGAGCTCATGGCTTCCCCAGCTCCCTCTCACCCACCCCCTGCAGCCAAGCACCAACAGAGACTAATTAAATTCAATGGTCCCAGGTCCAAATTATGGGGACAGCCTCTCATGGGCCCAGCTGGGTGGGGGAAAGCCCCAGTCCAGTCACTCATGCATTCATGGCTTGGGGTGCTGGGTACAGAAGAGTGGGCGCTGTCTGGGCACGGGTGCTGTACGGTGGGCGCATTCACTGATGTGGTGGCAGCATTCATCCTGGCATGTTGTTCCAGGGCCATACAGAGTTATTACTGTGGGGCTGGAGGGCAGCTCCAACCCCGTGTGTCTGAGTCACCTAATCTACAGTCAGATCTCCGGCGATTAGACTATATTTGGGGTGTCACAGGGGATCGTACCCTGAAGCCAGCATTCAGAACACGCTCGGAGGAATTCATCTTGTTTACACATGCCACTGAGCTTCGTGAACCAACGTTAAACTTCACCAGCTCGGTTCGAGATCCTTTCGCAGTTAGTGAGCGGATTACTGTTGTGGTGAAAATAGTGGCAACCATCAGAGGAAGCTGGTAAGTGCCCATGGAAATGTATCTAAGTAAGTGTATATGGAGTTTAAATTCTCTGCAGATTGTACACAGGCAGCACCCCACACAGTGAATTCCATGCTCTCATGGTTCCGCATAAAATCACTGCGTGTTTTCCTTAGTTATGATGCCATATCTTCACCTGAGCCCCTCTTCTGTCTATAGATGTTTGTCTACTTTGATACTTAATTATACATGCCCATCCAGAGCAGAAAACAGCCATAAGCAGAAAAGAAATAAGTATATTACCCTACCACCCACAGAGAAAACATAACCATCTATTTCTTCACTGCAGCATTACTCACGGTGGCCAAGACATGGAAACAGCCAAAGTGCCCTGCGATAGAGGACTGGGTAAAGAAGATGTGGTCCATGTACACAATGGAATACTACGCAGCCATAACAAAGGATAAAAGACTGCCATTTGCAACACCATGGATGGACCTTGAGAATATTATGTTAAGTGAAATAAGCCAGGTAGAAAAAGCTAAGAACCATGTGATTTCACTCATATGTGAGATATAAAACCGAAACTTGTGGACACAAACAGCAGTGTGGTGGCTGCCAGAGGGAAGGGGTTTGGGGATGGGTAAAGGAGGCAAATATATGGCGACAGAGACAATTAACTTTGGGTGGTGGGCACACAGTGTAATATACAGATCTTGTAACATGGAAATCCACACCTGAAACCTATATGACCATATTAACCAATGTCACCCCAATAAATTTAATTTAAAAACAAATTTTAAAGTGGGACGATTCTGTAAACCTAGCTTTCTTACCTAGAACATATCAAGGGCATCACTCTGTGTCGATAGAAATCTCTTCATGGCCTCATGCTACCCCTCGGCGAGGCCTTTTGCACTGTGCGGGTCAGTGCGTCCTCGATCCATCATTCCTCACCAAGGCGGACTTTTTGCACGGCATCATGCATCTGAGTAGTCTGTCACTGCGATTTCGATTGCATTTTGCACCCGATAGTTATGTAGGGACGCTTTGTTCCGACCTGCTTTGTTTTCCTTTTCCTGTGGCTACGGTTTCCTGTTTATTATCTTTATCCCTTCGCTGGAGTCCACTGCATTGTGCTGAAAGAATGTGGAGAGCACTGTTTCTGCTCTTTGTCATTTACTGAGTTCTTTAGACATAGTTAACATTTAGTCCATTTCTGTAGCTGTCCCCGGGCAGGTAGTCTGTTCCCTTCGGAGAGCATACCAGATGCCTCTCAGCTCTCCACTCGCAGTTATTAATTACGATATTTAAACCCTCACTCTCATTTTTTCCCTGAAGTAACCTCTTCAAAACCAAAGGATGAGCTTCCGCTGCTCTTCCTCTCGGGCACGTCCCTTTTCACTAATGTCAGGTTCAAGTGCTTTGCTGCGGCTGCAGCTGCTTTTGGCAGGAAGGTGAGGGGGTGGCAGGGGGAGGGGGAAGAGCTCGTAGTCAGTGAGGATGCTCTCCTGGTGCTGGTCTTTCTCTTAGGAACAATGGACATAGGCACATGGAGGCCCCGCTCGCCCTCACCCACAGCTGCTCTAGGTTCTCAGTGCTCCTCGCCTCTCCCCTGCACGCTCACTTCCTCCTGAAGGAGCTCCTCAGACCCCCCGATTCCGTTTTCTGAATTCCAACGGACTTTTGCCTTCTGACCCCATCTTACATTCTCATGGGGCTTTCTTTTTCTCTAACCATTTTTCCTTACGTCACCGTCTCCTTTTCCATCTCCATCTTCGGCCGTAGTCCACCTCTCACTGTGTGGAGCCCAGGAAAGGGGGAGAGATTTCCACATTCCCTCTGCTTCCTGCAGCACCGGTGTATGTTTCTCCCTGATGATTGCACGTGTCGGCTCCTTCTCTCATGTTGCAGAATCTTCTCACAGGTGAGTGTGGGTCTGGACGCTATTTGACCAAAAACAGTGGGAGTTGCCCCTGGATCCTCCTCTGTGCGGACACAGTCAGCACCCTCGCACATGCCCAGACTTACAGCACGACAGGGACGGTGCTGGGTCGCACAGGCCTAATAGTGAGTGTGCCTTGGCCCACCCCTCGGTCTCTGCCGGGTGTATCCTCTTGCTGACAAAACTCTCACATGGATCCCCAGTTGTCCAGACTTGGCCGTCCAGCCAGCTCGCCACTCCAGGACCCATGTGGCTTTGGCTGGCCCTATCTGCAGCCACACCTGCCAAATAGGAGAAGTACTGCTCACCTGGAATGAGACGGTGGGTCACAAACATGAAAACAGGTGGGACAGGCAGGGCCACTTAAACACAAGCTGCGCATCAGCTGGTTTTCCGTGTGGCCTCCCTGAGGGTCACTTTGGGGTCCGGCAAATTGGTGCCAAGAGGCATGTCTGTGTGGCCCATTCTCACCTGGAGCCCTGCCTTCCCAGGCCGGGGCAGGATGAGGTTCCCTGGGACACCTCCTACCCACGCCATGCCCCTCACTGATTTCTGGGGAAAGATGAGGTGATGCTGCAACCCTGTGTCCCCTCACTACATCCAGCACGAAGTCCTCAGTGTTCTTGGTCACAGAGCCTCCCACCTGGACTCAGTGCTGACCCCACTGCCCCACCTGTCTTTGCCTTACTGGTATCTTTGCCATCAGTTTCAAGGAGACAGAGAGAAGCTGCGCTGTTCATCTTACTCCATGAGGTTCACGGGCGTGATAACAAGCAGCTAGTAAACTGGTGAGGCCTTAAATCTGAGCCCAGAACAGAATTAAGCATTTGCCATATGTCAGCCCATTTACTCTTCACAAGGCAGGTACTAGTATTCGTCTCCCCATATCACAGGTGAGGAGACTGAGGCCCACGGAAGCAAAGTGAATTGTTCCCGGTTATATAGCTGCTGAGTAGCACCAACATCTGGGTCAGTCCAGCTCCAGAGTCGGCCTCTTGACCCCCTTGTGCCTTTCCATCCAAAGCGGGTGACTGGCCCCAGCTGCTGTTTGTTCCAGCACTTGATGTCCCAGGGGACGGACAGGAGCAGCATGGAAAATGGCAGAGCAGCCTTCAATCCTGACTCCTACGAACACTCTTGGAGAGGACCCTCGGACCCCATGTCGGGCCTAAGATAAACAAGTTGTAGAGACCAGAGCCATTTCTGTTAAAGCCCCTGCCCCGCCCCGTGCCAGGGCTGTTGGAGCAGACGCCACCTCTGTGCTTCTCAGGGAATGTCCTTGAGGTGACCTTTTCACACTGTTTCAGAGAAGCAGATGGCAGCATAACTGTTGTTGCGATGCAAGAAACACGAGGAAACCCCTTGACCAGCACGCAGGCCAGTAAGCCCACACTTGGACTTCAGACTTTGCCTCCTTCATGTAATCATCTTCAACACATTTGACGTGGCATGTTCAGCGCCTCGGTCACACTGCAAAGTTTAAGAGAACTACAACTTGGCCATCATGAAAAGTGCCAAGAAAAGGCTCAATAGCCATCTCATAGCCAGCACCCAGGAACAGCGGAGAGCTGGACGGTGATACTATTCAGGTTGAAGATGCCACAGAAATATCTGAACACCTGCCTTTGACGGCTTCTCCACATCCACCACCACAGCCCTGCAATCCCGCCCCCCCAATGAACCCCAAGAGCAGTGTCATCTATTCTGGGGGCCACAGAAAAATCGATACCATTGCTTTTGTCTGAATGGGACACCCCCCAAACAGTCTATTCTTCAGTTAGCAAATGCTCACCTCCTTGCCAAAGAGTATGTGAAAGATACTTTGCCTAATTAATGCTGTGACATACAAACAGAAGTGTTTTGTGGGCTTTCTCCTCTCCCTAATTAAAGATCTCCATGGAGAAATAAACAAACGCTCTCTAGTCAACAGCACCGAGGTAGGCGGTTGGGGATGCGTTGCCATCTGAGGTGCAGAAACTTCCAAACTCAGGGTGTGGGATTAATCCGGAGGGTTCCGTGGTCTTCCTGGGTGATCTCAAGCACGTTTTCGTGCCTCAGTTGACTTTTACAATCTGTAAATCTTGCAGGGATATTAAGATCAGCGAAGGAATGTCTGTAAAGTGCTTTGAACTCTGAGAGTTAGACATTAAGTAAATACCTGGTGTTATTAGAACTCTACTGGGGCAATAGAATGTTCGAAATGGGACTTTATTATAAATACTCTCTGAAGTTTGCCAAGAATAAATTGAATGGGCAAAGACAACATACTTGGCTGTAACTTAACCCAAGCTTGGCACCAGGCTGCATGAATAGGGAGCTCTGGAGAGAACATGAAAGGCTTCTATTATTTGAGCCAACTGTTTGGCTAAATTTCCATATCTTCCATTTAGTTGTTCTACTCTTTAAATTGCTGCCTTATAGAGGCAAGCAAAAGAACAAAATGAAAATAAAGGTCCATTAGCCTGTTCGCATCTTCCTGCAATTAATGTGACTGAATGTAAATTGTTTAAAGATCCCCAAATCACCCCCACACCCAGTGTCTGAAATGGACAGAAACCAAGCTTCCCTTCTCGGAGTTCCCGCAGCAAAATGACAACCATGAACCGCCTGTGGTCAAAACATTTTTCTCTGAGCTGATCTCTGCCTACAGTCCAATTAGATATATGTCAAAGTCCACACACATAAAGAAATCATGATTTTCCTTGCGATAGAAGGAAGTTTCAAATTGCAAATTCAAAACTTTTGCATTGCCCCAAAGCATGCATTATGATTCAGAGCTTTCATAAGGACACAACAGGCAGCATTTCCCATAACTCAGCAGCCGGTGTTTGGTCTATGTCAGGAAATCGGTCAGGGGAGATAGCGGGGTACAGAGAAAATCCCAACCAATCTCGTGGCTGGGATTCTGGAGTCTGGTCTTGCTTCTGTCGTGAACTAATTGTGTGGGAGCCTCAAGCCCCTGCCTGCACCTCAGGTTCCTTATCTGTAAGATGACAGCACAGATCCCAGGAACCCACTTCTTCAAATCACCACTTTTCTCCAAAGCATGCCAAGTGAGAATGCAGCCAAAAGCGTGCATTCCTGGAAGGAAATAGCCCCAAATTAAGGCCTGAGCCCTCACTCATCCCCAAGAAGAAATGTTTTGGAACAACATGATTTAATCAAACCGATGCCTCGGCCTTTTCTCCATCACCTGCTTACAGGAAAAAGAAAATGACTTTATGCTCCCAAAATGCCGTTGGCTGTTTCCAGCAGCAAGCCTCAGTCCCTGTGTGTCCTGTGTTTAAACTCAGCACGGACTTAATTCTTCAGTCCAAATAAATACTTGGAGGTATGTGTCCAGATATGCTTACCAAGAGACTAAATCCCCCTGACGGATGGCAGTGAAAATAGGAGTCACGTGTTTTCTGGATGAGTAAATGGAGGGGATAAAAATAAAATAAAAACAGGAGGTGATTTCCACAAAGCACACATTCAGGGTTCTGTCTTGACCATATGCTTTCAGCAAATGAGAAGACCGTCTTAATGCTCTAGCTCATCTTAGGATGGGAACAACATGCCCGCCAACATGGCCGAGAGGAAAATGTGGGGCTCGGAGCCAGGCCCACAGCCAGATCTGTGGTGCACCCACTAGCTTTCCCAGAGCTCACTGTGCTCCCAGCTCGTGGCCTCTGCACAGGGGTGGCCAGGACAGCAAATCTGAGTGTGGGTCACTGTGGAGATTGGCTACAGTGTTTGGACAGGTTCAAGCCTCGGACTGAGGAGAGGGCACTGTCCTCTCATTGCCACGTGCAAGTCCCAGCTTGGAGGGCAGAGTCCTCCCAGCACAATTATAGCCAAGAGCTATA